TATATATATATAGAGAGAGAGAGAGAGAGAGAGAGAGAGAGAAAGAGAGAGAGAGAGAGAGAATTTTACGCATACTCATTTGCCTTAAAGTCCATGAAACAGCTGAAGAGTTTCCATCTGCATATTGTGTTATTAGACCAACCGCGAAGCACAGTGGCAATGGTGCACGTTATTATTCCAAAATATAATAAAAGCGCTAGAAAAAGGACGACGGATGAATGAAACTGACCTTATGCAATTGCACTGCATAATGGAAGTCGACGTGAAACATATTAGGTGTGGGAAAAAGTTCGTGGCGTTTTTTAATGCCATCTAATGGGAAAAACGTCACGAACTTTTTCCCATACCTAATAAAATATTCCCCGATAGTGTCACATTGCTTGTTCAATTCTTGGATCATCGTGTCTAATTTATTAAAATTTATTTAGAATTATGTAAAATTCTGAATTCTTTTAATATTCTGATTAATCTCATAAATGAATCGAGAATTTTTTTGTTGACATAGATAAATGTTTGATGACAGAACTACTTCTACTATTAAATAGATAAGATAAGAGATAGATATTAAATTAGATAAATCATTGAGTGATTGAAACGATAAATTTTTATGTTTTATTGACTTTACTTTGCAATTTCATGGTAAGTCATTTTATTTTTATTTGGATAAATTTTTCTTCATGTAATAAAAATAAAATATGTTTGGTTTTAATCGCATCAAAAACTCGGAAATTCGAATGGGAAAACAAAATTGTAGATTGTAGATCATCAGGTGATGAAGATAAAGGGCGAAAGAGAGTAAACTGCAAAACCTGAAAATAAGAGAAACCCATTTAGTTCAGGGTTGTTGAAATTTATTTGCGATCGTGCATATAAAATACAACGCTTCATTGCAACTTCTTCTAACAGGTTCTCTTTTACTCATCCGATAAAATCATCGGTGGTCGCGTTGCACTTTTTGCATCGTCCTGTACACATGTGCTCCCTCAGTTCGGATTTCTCTTAATAACACCATTAACGATGTCTGGCTCTATAGTATCAAGAACTTCTTTATGTTACTATTTATATCTATTCTTAATTCTCTAAAAGCTTTCAAGTTTTTCTATCAAAACAATAATAAGTGAAAATCGATCGATATGTAAATAATACAAATAAGTGAAGAAAAGAGTCACATTCAGTCAAAACGGATCTTGGTGTCTAATGATATTTTTGCGTGAATTTTTATAATTTCCAGTTTATGCAAATTGCGCACCGATATACAATAGAATAAATTTTGATCAACTTTTTGTTTCTCAACAAATAATGAATATTCTCGTAAGCGTTTCACATTAAAATATTCATCGTCCTTTAATTTTTAGAAACTTTGCTTTGAATTTTTTAGGTAATTACGAATAGTACAAATTTGTAATTTTTACAATATGTGAAAATAAATATGATGGTATAAAAGTCCTTTTATTGTTTACAGTTGAAATAATGTATTAAAATAAAATTTATTGGCAATATTTAATGTTAAAAGATTACACAGATTTACAAGGTTTCTGTTTGTTAACTAAATGATGATTCTTATGTATTTTACTTCGTAAAAGAAAAAAATTTGTAAATTATCCAAATTGTTTTTTCAAAAATAAGATCCCTGTTTTTCTGTGAGTGAATAGAACTTTATATTTTTACAATATTTAAAAATATGTATAAGAACTATCATTCAGATCTATCATGTTGAGAAATAGAAAATACAATGTTATTTGTAGACCTTACAAAACAGTTCTAAATTGAAACCAAAATATATAATGTTAAATTAATAAGCAATTTAATTTAATTTAAAAGGAAACGAAGGAGCACTTTAAATCATTGTAGAGAATTTTTTGCGAAAAATATCCCATTGATATTATTACACAAAAAGAATGATCTTGCTAAAATGTCTAAAAATTTAGATAGATATATCTGAAAATATATAATTCTGTTGGACTATTATTGTAAAATATTTATATAGAAATTCGAACAATTGATGAACAATGCTGCAAAAAAATTTTTTGACATTTTAATAATCAGCCTATATAACTACACATATAATTATTCTAATGATTTAACAAAATTATATTCAGATTTGTAGCTAAATCTTTAAATATATATAAATAAAACGTTCTTTGTAGATACCGAGATCCATTTTATGGCTCCGAATATAGTTCTCTGTTTCATTAATTTCTGTCAAAGCGTCATTACTCCCTTTCAACTTTTATACGAATTTTTATCATTATACATAATTTTCGATTATTATTTTCGTATCTTTTTGACTCCATCAATGGTGTACTGTTGCCGCACATGCGAGCCATTCGAATTTGATATTGCGATTTCTCCGGCTTAAAGAATGCATCTCGGTGCAACTACTTGGGTACACAACTGTGTTGCAATTAAGTTGATCTTTATTCGCGACCTTCTCGCTATTTGCGACTCACGTAGTAATGGCAATTTTAAAGACTCACAAGTGAACATATTGCGTTTATATAAGAACAGCGCGCCTTGTAATGCGTAATATCATATCAGTATATTGAGATTATGCTTGCGTTAAGTAAATTCTCGAAAATAGCGTAATTAGAAGATGCTAATTAGAATTTACATTGTATGCAACGCGACGGCGAATCATTTGAAAATTCGATATAGACAAAAAAAAGACACCTACCTCCTAAACGCGGATTCAGTCTTATGCTCACCTTGCTAGAAGAGAGTTACTGGTGGTTTGCTAAATTTCTTTCCTTAACACATTCACATCTTCTAACATTCCTTCTGCGAAACTATATCCTCGTCGTTGTTGACAATTTTATGATCTTTCGGGATGATAATTCGTGACAATAATTATTCGCTTAATTTCTCTGCCTATTCGATTTGTTTAGCGTAAACATTCGTTTCTAAAATTCTAAAACTCGTTAACTGCGCACTGATAATGTCTACGAAGAAGAAGTATGGTTGAACAAGAACACGCTAACTACGTGATTTATTGTAATCGGGTTAACGAGCAGGGAAACGAGGAGATTCGAAATTCCTGATCATATTTGCATTTATCTTAAAATGACTGTCTATGTTACTGATAGGCAGTGTCTTCGTAAATGGCAAGAATTTGCAAATTTTTATATTCTTTATTGGCGCGATAACGAAGTCAATACGCGCGTGATATTAAATTTGTCGTGGTATAGCGCTATCATTGTCAGTTAATGTATTTCCTTATTTTTAAGACGTAATTTACATTTTTATACGATGTAATGTTAATTCATGAAGGTGTGAAACTGGTAACACGAATAAGATCTTGATTCTTATAATTGATTTATATTTATACGTGAATATAAATGTCAACAATAGTGATGCGTAAGGAACACGATGTTATGAATGTGTTTCTCTGTCTCTGTATGTAATGATCAAATTATGATGTTACCAGTTTGACTATAATTTCGGCTTCAAACACGTTATCGAGAGAAAAATCAGCAATGACGCATCTCCCATAAAAGGCATCTACCTCCTAAACGCGGATTCAGTCTTATGCTCACCTTGCTAGAAGAGAGTTAGTGGTGGCTTGCTAAATTTCTTTCCGTAACACATTCACATCTTCTAACATCCTTCTGCGACTAACACTGTCTTTTTAATATAAATTTACAAGTGTAATAACACCTTGCGAAATAAGCATTCTCATTTTTTATTATCTTGTTTAAAAAGAAAGAATAAATAAAACAGACGGTTAATCGCTGATATTAATCTCGTGAAACTCAAAGCTCAGACGTGTTTTTATTTCGGTATTGCATTATTTTTTAAAGTATCTCTAAATAAAATGATCAACTCTTGAGCAATTAAAAATATTAAGACAAAAAATTAGAATTTCTTTATTAAGACACATTATAAAAACCTTATAATATTAACCAATTTGATTAGTTGAGCAATGTTTGTTATTATATTGCTATCAATTTGTATCTTTATATTATTGGTATGTAACTATTATGTGCATTATGGAAAAATCGGACGACTACCAGGACCACTATGTTATCCAATTTTTGGAAGTGTATACGTATTATTTGGTTCACGAGGTAAGTTAAAATGTTTTATATATTTAAATAAAATTTTATTTTAATTAAAATGTTTTACATATCTGTGATTCAAAGTTTGACGGTATATAATTCAATTCAATTATTAATCCGTTTTAATCTTCGGTGAACATGAAAATCATAATTATGTTACTCGATTTATCCAGGAACGACTATAATAATTAAAATAATATTACAGTGGCATCCAATATACTCTCAGTAAATAATGTATAATTCTTGAGCAAATTAATGTTTACCTTTGTACGAAAATATAATATTTGTAAATTCCACTTTAAGAAACAGTATTATTTAAATATTTCCATCAATGTTAAGAAACATTTGTTAATTAGTTGAGAATTATTTAATCTTGATAATTATTTTCTACATACTATTCATTTCTCGGTTTCTAAACTTTATTGAGAAATAATAGAATATATTAAACATCATATCATATTTCTTATATTTAAATTTTTTAATCAATTTTTATTAATGTCTATATATATATAATTTTTTAGAAATACTGTGGAAGATAATTACTCTTTCTAATAAATTTCTAAGGAATTTCTATCCCATTGGCATAATTTGGGCATTCTTTGTACCCATTGTATCCATCCGTCATCCGGATGATTTAAAGGTAATGAAATATGAACAAAATTTTATTTTCTTCTTATTATTCTTACTATATGTATTAGCAAATAAGATAATTTTCTTTTCTTTTATTTTGCCAAACTAT